CACACACACACACACAACCCCACACCAAATAAGAGCATCTCTTTTTGGTGATCCGTAAAAAAAAATCCCAAAGCGATGTTGCTGTGTCTGCCCCGTCCTTAGCAGATAAAGTTGACCTTTAAGTTTGACTCTCTCCCCGCCTCCCACCTCTCCTCCCCTTTATCCTCCACATCCTCCTGTCAGAGCACGACGAAGCTTTCACTAACCTGTTCTGTCAGTGTGGCAAGATGTGTGGGTGATTGAAGCTTCCCAGACCCTTTCACCTTAGCCAAAGCTGTCAGTTTCACCACTGTCAGCTCTCAGGGCATTGCTTCGTCTTTCTTATCAGATTTATTTTTTTAATTTTCTATTTTGTGTGAGCACAAGCTGTTGTTTTTTTTTCCATGAAAACACCAAAGCCAACAATGAATGTATCCTACTAAAAAGTATTGTTAGCAGTGTCCCTCTGTGCCATAGAGCTCCATTGTTGTCCCATGAAATACTCAATAGAGCACTACATGGATTAATCTGCAGTTGAAATGCAGTCCCCAACAAACCTTGAGTAAGGTTTGAAATTACTAAGGCTTTTTATAAATGAAAACTATGTATTTGTTACTCTTGGTGAAGATCTCCATCTTCAGTAGGAACCAATGGGCGCCAAGGGTGAGTTTCACAGACAGGGTAGGGAAGTCAGAAAATATAGATGAAGTAACACATCGTCTGTTTTGGGGTTTTTAAATATTTTGTACTTGCTTTGGTATTGGCAAAGGAATAATCAGATCCTTGTAGTAGACTTTTCAAATGATGCAGTAGCTTACAGTGTTTTACATTATATTTTGTAATTCTATTCATCTGGTTGACACAATAACAGGATAAACACAAAAATAAGACATTAAATACACAAAACAACAATTGCATGTCATCATTAAGACAAATAGCCCTGTTTCTTTATTTAAAGTCAATGTACATTACCATGAAAGTGATGCTTTGGTGTAACCCTGCTGCATCAAGCCTGTAAAATAATGTGCCTGATGTGGGATAAAACAGGAGATAAGTGGATGGAGCAGAACACCAGGGGGAGGTTTGAGGAAGCCAAAGCTAGTTAGGGCCAAGCTGGAGCAGACCAAGCGTGAAGAGACTGTGCATTTCTAATGACATATTCTGTGCTCCACATCAACAGCCTTTGTTTATTTGCTACACGTGCCCTGCTCCTCAGCGAGCTCGCCATCTTCTGCCACATCTCTTGTCATGATTGTGGCTGCTGTAGGATCAGGAAGGCAAAGCTGATGGCCGTGACTGCTGACACTTGGACTATGTGCTGCCATTTAAAGACACCCCTTTTATTTCATTTTTGTCATCGGGCATACTATGCAGGATTTTCCCTGTAGAACCAATGTATAGGGTTTTACAAACAATCCCTCTCAATCACCACTCATGTGTTTCAATGTCTGTATCTGCAGAGACCCTGCAGTACTCTTCCTGTATTTTCTTATATTGCTGTGTTCCGGACGTTTCTGGGCGTCTGCTTTTGGGAAGTTTGCAGGGGTCTGGGGTTACCAGGTTACATCGCTGTCTACGTCTCTGCTCCCTGTCTGTTTGGCTGAAGGCACCTTTGGCAGGGTTGTGCGGGGACATGGCCGTGTTCATTTCTGCTTTAGAACGTATCTGCTATGAAACAATTAGAAAATAAAGAAATACATCTCGACCAAAAGTTCTCTCTCTGGCTTGCTCAAACCGAGGAGGGGAGGACAACTTAAATGGCAATGGACAAAGCCTGCATAGTATGCCTTTAAGCTCCATCCTTGACTACCATTAAAATATGTCATCATTTCAATAAGCGAGTAAATAAGAAAATGAACAGAAGAAATGTATATTTTCTGGATACCCTAAGACTAAGGGAGGGATGTCTTATGCTTTACCTGTCCTAACACTTCTTTACTGTTATGACACTTAAACAACATATGTATGAAAGAATGAGATGGATTTTAAAGAGAGCAAAAATGCAAGTGGGGTTATAGTGTGCAAACACGACACAGACAACTTAAACTGAAACTAATTCTCAATTTTATAATAATAATTCATTTATTTAATTTCATTCTCTGCAATTCTGTGCTTTAGAGGTGATGTGTGTAGAACAGCTGGAACGGACTGGGGTCTGGGGATGAATAGAAATATCTTCTAATACCAGTTTTCTATAAATCAGTAAAATGCAGATTGACTGTCTCATCTGTGTGACTCATTGACTGAGAGGAGAAGCATGGATTTTACTGCTACAGTATTGCTGAGATTTCTTTTTAGATCCATGTCTTTGCATCTTAAAAAGAGACATTGACCACTACTATATACGTCATGAATGTTGGCTCCTGTCAAACTACAGCTAGTAAAAATATCAGTCCTCCATTCTGTAAAACTTATGATACATTTTGTTAATCCTGCCTGCAAATGTGATTTTACGGCTTTCAGAAGAGATTAAGACATTATGTAAAGGTAATATTTATTTTAGAAATGTATGTTGGATTTGATTAGTTAGTATAGATGCTTATAATCAGACGTAACAGACCATGCCTGTAACATCCCAGATTCTAGTCTCCATTTTCTGCTCTGTACTTGTCCTTTCCTCCTCCTGTTATCTCCTCTTTCAGTGGCAGAGGCAGTGGCCCCCAGAGAAGCCCTGGGGGCTGTAAAGGTCTTTGAGCTAACCCCTATTACACTGCTGAGAGGATGGGGACACTGACACTAATGACAGCCATGCAGCTAGCCCTTGTAGCATGCTGAACTAGCACAGATACTGCTGCAGCACATTCTCTCTCTCACACTCACACACACACACACACACACACGCACGCACACACGCACGCATGCATGTAATGGTGCATCCACTACTGGATAGGCAATACCAGAAAAGGACTTTAGGATTCCGTTTACCCTCTCTTTGGTCACCATATTTCTGAGTAATGATGCATTGTTCTGTATGGTTCTATATTGAAACGCAGTGATCTATACTAGGTGCGTTTTTAGACTCCTGATGCAACTGAAAAGTGTTGCATTATTGAAACTGCTCGTTCCAGAAACACTGGATTGGGCTTTGTTATGCTGTAATGGTGAAAGAAAAAGGGTTGATTTCCAAGTGCCACAAACTGTAACCGTTAAAATAGCTGGCAGTAATGCCACCACAGTGAAGTTTAACTTTTGGAGCTCTGCCTCCAAAACCTGATGTGTCTAAGCTGAATCAGAAAAGATTTGATGCATCACCTCAGATAGTCTTGCGATACCAGATGATTGGAAATCTCAGCGCCTACCAATCGTCTGGGGATTTCTAAAGGTAAAGTAGTTGCTTCAACGGCGGTGAGAACGTCCGAGGACACCACTCACTTCAAGGAAACACCTTACCTGAAATTATGCTGTCCCCCATTCTCCTCCTTAGTGAAACAAACTGGAGGTATAGCGATTCCCTTTGTAATATGGAAAGAGCTTTTTAAAACATTGAAAATGGATGTCTTAAGCAACGTTATATTGCACGACAGTGTTTACAAGCACACAATTCTGCACCGCCCTGAAGATTGTAATGCAGGTTGTTTTTAATCTCTGCAATTGTTAAAATTGTTAAATAAA